TCTTTTGCATAAGAGTCCATCTATGTAGGTATATGCCACCAAATAGCAGTACTTGAACTGTTACGTTCCGGCCGGAAGGGTATAAAAAGTCAGTATAATTATGGGCTGCGAACCATTATAGGTGTCAACGCATCTATGTAACTATGTTTGAAGTTGGCTGCACTTTTTTATACGGATAAATGTAAATATCTATGGGCCACAGCATCCACTCACCACCAGGTAGACTAATATATATATATATATATATATATATATATATATATATATATATATATTTCATATATATTTATATATATGCGTGTAAGAATATAATTGCAGTAGCCACTTACTCATACATCAGATGGCCGTAGACTGTAAAAATGGTTTGTCACTCCAGTTTTATAAAAAAAATGTTTTATTATTAATACCTTCGTATAAAAATTGTGCTGAACAAAAAAATAATACTATGATTTAAACAATGTCTTAATCTAAAAAATCTACAATAACAGGAACCTGAACTAATCAATCAATCTAAACAATCAAACTAAACAATCAATCATATATATATTACGATTCTTTATTATGTACACTTACAAAGAAGCAAAACTCCTGAGTGACTTTTCTCGCTCCGTGTCATGTTATCGTATGTCATAAATAATCCCAAAGTTATTCACGTTCAGAAGGAAAAGAGGAATATGGTTTTGTTATTTGCTTTGTGATACGAAAAGTCATTTGATGTAATACTTAGATGGACGCGGGGACACTTCTTAAATTTCGGAAACTTGCCCTAAAACCCTCTCAGAAATGAGGAGAGGCCTGTGCCCAGCAGTGTGACGTATATAGGCTGCAACTTTACCATTACTTTTACTTTTCATATTTAAAGGAAATGTCATTATAATTACAACTGCCGATTAAATTTGGCAGTGGGGAGGCCGAACGATTACACTATTTCGTCCTGTAAGTTCCTTCATCCCACAACACAATTTATCAAAAATAAATTGTGCAGACGACTCTCTTTACTGATTTATTATACTCCTTTGTAATAATTTAAATGTACTGGGTATATTCTCAAGTTTTTAGCTGTCGTTAAGCATTCTTCATTTAATCACCGACTTGTTTAATGACCAAGAGGCCATAGTTTAGGTTTTACATGGGTTTGATACAAATCTTAATTATTTTAGTATAAAAACGTATGATAGCATTTTTATAGCATAGGGGGAGACAAACAAGTTCACCTCTTAATCCATTTGCAATTAAGTAGATAATATGGCCTCGAGACACCTACATCTAACCTTAATTAAAAATCAGTGTTGATGCGTTATCACCCCTGAGCACTAAGTTAGAATAATCTCGTTAGGTACCAGTAAAATAATCTCCGGCCTTATACACTCACCATATAATACACCAGCATTTATATTGCATGCTGGTATTCGCGTTATCGTAGTCCTTCTCGGGTCGAGACGTATTCAACGTAGGTCTCGTAGAATATTAACAAAAATGCACTTTTAAAACAGAAGATAATAACGATGATGTTTTTTTGCCGATTTTGACGTAAAAATGCAATGTTCTAATTTATATCAAATTAAAACTATATTCACATTGAGTTAAAGGGTCCTTATGTGGTAACGTCCAAATTTACAATAAACCAGCGGTGACTAACAGTAATAAAATAAAGCAGAGCTTAAGGAGACTACAGGAGCTAAACGCAAGTTTTATAATGCGTCAAAGTATATGATACACTGCAGTAAACAAAACCAGAAAAATATATGATATTTTTCTTGATATACGCTAGTTAACTGTTGTGTTGAAAACACGATACTAATAATTTGATACGATAGAAAAAAATCACAAAGATACCTCTAAAAATTTCTTTTAACGAGTAAAAACTTTTTTGATTTTTTTGTCAGATAATTATACAAGCTACATATTAACTTACTGTTGTTTTAATTTTTTAGTGCAATTAATTGTTTTTATTGTAAATCGCATATATTCTTATTTCTGAATTAATACGTAAGGATGTGTACGCAAACGCCTGTCTACAGACACTGCGGCCGATGCCCTGATGGTATAGATGTGTTGCTCTTTTTGCCGCAGTGTTTACGTAAAGATTGTTTCACCCAAAATATGAACGATATTAGAAGGTTTTACATATTATTATAACATTTAATTATTACTAAATAATAAATATTTATTTTAACCACATTAAACCTATAAATTTTAGCAAAGTAGTTTATTACAGTTGTGTATTTAGTAGCGCGGGATTCATTTGCAGTTTGCATTCGAGAGTGCCCGGGTTCGATTCCAGGAATGTTTAGTTTTATTGATTTTGTTTATAAGAAATAGTAATTATAATTATGTATGAATGTTTTGTCTTCAGTTCTGTCAGCTTAATAATATTTCAGTCAAAAAAATAAATAAACGAAATGCAAAATTACTTAAGTATCTTATGAACCAACGTGAATATTTAGAATTGACATTTCTACGTATTTTAGTAGATTTTATTGTCTTAATTTCTTCCTAGCATAACCATCGAAAGAATCTGCGGAATCCGACGTGTTTAACAGTTTCTCACTAAGATTTTTCCTTTGCGGGTAAACAGACATAATATCTTTTTTGAATTCTTCCCATAATCTATCTCTCTACGTATCAGGCTCCCACGTGTCAAACCAGGATAATGAATAGCCCCGAAGGGCCTTACCGGCTTTTTCTACCTTCTCAAAGCTGCTCCATTTTAACTCGTCTCCCAACTTATCGAAGCCCTCGCACCGGTAGTTGCTGCGTCGTTGCTTTTGTCCGGGTTGAAAATTGGCACCGCTACGTCGTCGTGCCGCTTATTTTAATCCATTACATTTTGGGTGGTTTCCAACAGTCCTTTCACCAACTCCGCATCCATATTGAAATAGTTTGCACTGAAATATTTAAAATAAAACGATTAACAAAAAGCACGGGCGATCCCACTTCTGATGATAATTTCATGGGATATTAAACAAAGAAATCAGATCTTTTTGTTTATAAAAGCATTTGTTAAAATCTTCCTCCTAACAAGGGAGAAATTATGAAAAGAATTTATTTATTTAATTTGAAATAATATATTTAGGATAATATCTTTACACATATTTAAACAATATTTTAACAAAAGACAGAACAAGCAAAATTAAGCCGAAGTACAACAAAACAAGACATAGTAGAATATACTTAACTTGCTAATACGAAAAATAACCAAGTACTGTCTCGAATTTATAAGATTTATAAGATTTGTGTTTATGTATTTATAAGATTGCCGCCAAATGTCGCTTTTATTTATTTTTTTACAATTGAACAATTCTTAAACACATCTAAATATTAAAAATTAAATTATAAAAATTATTAACTATTAAATAAAATCATAAAAATCATTTTTAAAACCTTTTTCACAGTTTTTAACAATTAATTTGCAGTATAAATATATTTCATAAAACACGTGGTCCAAAACGGTTTAACACATATTAGTAATAAGACAAAGGAACTAAAATCCTCACTTAAACACATTCAAAAATATGAAACACATTTTTCACATCCAAATAAACATTTTTGGGCTATTTTTATACATTTATTACAATATACTTATCATACATTAGAAAACGGAAGTAGTAACAAATTAACAATTCATAAAACATCAAAATTAATCCACGAAAGTTTTTATTAATCGTAACTAAAATTTAATTCTAAAATTATCCTTAATGTAGCAAGCGCTTTCGATTATCGGACAGTATAAACTTTTCATTGCAAGTAATGATTTGATTTAAAATCCCTTTATTTTTGTGTCGGTTCAGCAAAGTAACACAGCAGTCGACGAGTGTTCGATTCACTCAATTCATGAGTGAATCGAACACGCGTCGTTCAAGTTATTTTACTTTCCCGATTTGCTTCAAGTGGATTAATACAGTTTTATCACTTACCCCGAAGCCTGCTGCTATCTCCGAAGTACTTTGTGATGGATCCGCTTTCACAATAGCCTTTAATTCTTCATTTTACACTTTAGTCTCGGGTTTGTTGAAACTAAAATCGTACCGTGCTTTTTTTGCGACACCAACGCCGTACACATCATTAATCCTTCGATCTGTTTCTGCAGCACTGGTGCCACGGTAAAACTCGTATTCGTAATTATACCGATATTTTATGTTTTACATTGTGCGGTAATAAGCGACGCCAAAAAAATAATGAGGAAAAACAAATGAATTACTGTTTTCAATACTCAAATGTACCTGCTAAATGAATTTGAATTTGGAATTCTTAACCAAAGAGGAGATATTTCAGATCAAGTGGCTATTTTACGCTTGTATTCTGTGAGGGCAAAGTCCTTTCCTGGTCGAGAGATTAATTTGTGTTGCAACTACACTATAGCTCCAGCAAGGATGTACCACCTATTAAGTATTTAAAAAAGAAAAAAACATAACTATTACCATGACTAAGTTTAACTATATCCTAATATAATCGAAGATATTTCACAAAAATATCCGTCTTAATGTGGTAATGTGAAAAGGGTAACAAGGACAACAATAAATATATAATGTATGTTCCTTACTATAAATAACCTAACGCGTAAAAACGATTGAGTAACCTGCAGATTCTTATTGTTATAGCCGACATAAATTATGTTATGCTCCTCTACTCTAACTGCCTCGTTGATCTAGTGGTTGTATAGTCTACTGTAGTGCGATTGTTGATCATGAGCTCCTGGTTTCGAATCCCGGGTTGGGCCAAAAAATTAATTATAGAGTTTTTCCGTCAAGAAATTCTTAGTAGTTGCCCGGAGTCAGGATGTTGGCGGTGTCTCACCCCCGTGCCTCGGAAAGTACGTAAAGCCGTTGGTCCTGCGCCTGATCTCTCTCCAGTCGTGTCGGTTTACCGTCCCATCGGATTATAAGATTGAGGGAATAGAAAGTGGACCTATGCTTGCGCATATACATGGGCACTATAATCCTATCCTCCATTGAGGCAGGCCGTCGTGGCCGAAATTCGGTCTAGAGGACATTATGCGCTTACCAACGAGATACTCCTGTAAAGAGACCAACTAACGAATAAAATCATGAACGAAATCAACACGAACGAATACAGAAGGATGCGCAGTGAAACGAAGGAGCGTTACGTACTGAACTTAGTTTTGTGTTCGACAGCGAAAAAAGTAGCTTACTCTCTCGGTCTTTGTCACGTTAACGTTACTTGATGAGTAATTGCTGTGGTCCATGGAGATTTACATTAATCCTCGATTAAAGAGTTCAAGCGGTACGTAGACGACACTTTCACAATTCTACCTTTAGATAAAGTAACTGCATTTTTAGACCATCTTAACTCTATAAATTCTAAAATTCAGTTCACAATGGAGTTAGAGGCAAACAATTCCTTAGCTTTTCTAGATGTGTTAGTAATTCGGAATCCTGATAACACCTTGAGCCATACTGTGTATAGAAAAAAGACCCATACAGATAGATATTTAAACGGTGATTCTCACCACCATCCTTCACAGTTAGCTACCGTGGGTAAATCTTTGTTTCAGAGAGCACGAGGGATCTGTGACAGTAAACACCTGGCTGCCGAGCTCCAACATGTCAAGCAAGTTTTGCATGACAACAAGCTTCGGGTCCCGCGCCTACGTCACAGAGAACGAGTGAAGCCGGCCACAGTCGAGCGTGTACCTGCTGTACTGCCATATGTTAGAGGAGTCACTGACAAGATTGGCTACATCTTGAAGCGCGCTTCCATCAAAACATACTTCAAGCCGCCGAAGAAGATTGGTCAGTTTTTACCATCAGTCAAGTGTAACGTCCCTCTGCAAGATGCAGGAGTGTACAAGCTTGATTGTGAATGTGGTCTCTCCTACATAGGACAAACTAAAAGATCAATTAAAACCCGCGTCAAAGAACATATAGCTGATGTGAAGAATCGACGCTCCGGGAAGTCTGCAGTCTGTGAACATGTACAGGATCGCCCCCGTCACTACATCAGATTTGATAGACCACAAATCCTCGCTAAAGAACACCGATTCCTTCCAAGGATGATTCGCGAGGCTATTGAAATCAAAAAACATCCTAATTTCAATAGAGAAGATGGCTGGGTGCTACCATCTGCTTGGGATCCTATAATAAATAAAATTAAATCCCAACCCAAGCATACAACTGCAAGACTCCGTGATACCATAAGTTCATACTGTGTAGATCGGAACAAAAGTTAAATTTTAATCTATGGTAACCGCGGTTAACTATGACAGCTGGACGTTGAACATCTCAGTCCTTCCCGTGACCATGGGTGCTGTAAAGCTCTCGAAACGTCGGGTAAAAAAGTTAAATATACGCGATAAATTCCGTAAAAATTAGTATTATTTCAATGTGTAGTGTTCGCGTAAATATAAGAACCTCATAGTGTTAGTTATAACCAAAGGCTACAATTCCATTAGACAGCGTTAGGAGAATTGTGGTTTGTATGTACTATGCACCTTATCGTGTGTGTTTTTTTACATTTAAAATAGTTTCTTTTATTTTTTAAGAAACTAAAGTGATGAATGACACCCGATGGTAAGTGGTTACTACTTCTTTTGGACACCTGAAATAAAATTCATACATAAATAGCTCTGGCTAAGTTGAATGCCTCATAACCAGTAATTGTACTGAAATAGTAAAGAATGAAGTCTTACCCAGACGGACTTCTACGCATAAAAAGAAGAAACTTTTATAATTTATTTATATTTATATATTGTTATATTTTATAAAATCTTTATATTTTACATTACTTCTCGTATAAGGTTCAGCTAACTCGGCAAACTCTGTAAATTGCTATGCTCGTGGTTTTTCTATGTAAAAAAAATACAGCTGCATTCAAACTAGGTGATGCACATCATTTTATTTTATTAAACGAATGATTGGTAAATAACTTCTAACATCTTTAATATCCGGTAACCCAAATCGTCTCGTGGGTTTGGCACTATATTTGCAGCATCTTCTTACCAACAACTAGATCCAAAGTAAAAAAACTGCGGTTGCCAACCTGCCTGCCAAAAGTGGAAAGTATGGCAAATATTAAAATCGTATGTGATTATCTGTTGGGAAGCCGTTATGTTCAGTGATGTACAGAAGTTGACTTTGATAGATTGTAATTAACGTAATTTCATAAACTATTAGATCTCTTCAACACGTCGTCATCTACTTAGCGGGTTTAAGCATCATTCTCCTTGAGTGACTTCGTAAAATTATATGTGTAAGATATTGTAAAAAGTAAAATAAATATTAACATATTAAATATTATTTGGTATTCAAAAGGGAAATAGAATATTTATAAACTGTCAGCAAATTATTAAAAACAATTTTCAATATAATTTCTGTTATTTTTAAATTGTAGTGTGTCAACAGTGTCTAGATAAGTATGTATAATGATTTACACAAAAACCTTGGGGAAGCACGCACCGCTCAGCGGCATGCTTTGATGCGTCCGTGTCAGTGACCAAATAGGGGCGTACATAATATGTCGACACTTGTCAGTAAGTTCAAAAGCATATAACATTTTTAGACATATTAAATTTAGTAGGTTATCTAATTAGAAACTATACGACCCCAATAAAAGAAACCAAAAAATTTTTCATTACACACACACACACACACACACACACACACACACACACACACACACACACACCATACACACACACACACAACACACACACACACACACACACACACACACACACACACACACACATACACACGCACGCACGCACACGTACGCACGCACGCACACGCATGTACATGCACGCACATGCACGCACATGCACGCACACGTACGCACACGCACACACACGCACGCATACGCAAGCACACGCACGCACACGCACCCACGACCGCGCACACACACGCACACGGGCGCACGTACACACACGCACACGCACATGCACTCACACGCACGCGCATGGTTTGGATTTGGGACGCTTAATTATCTTAGTAGCGATGTCATTGTGTAACATTTTATTATTCTACTTTTTAAATACATTCCATTAGAGCCTATAAAAATCCACTATTGAACATAACCCTCCCCCATTGACTACCTCATACGGATCAAGGATCTTGCTATAATTGCAACGCTTAGCAGGTGGGTTGGAAGCAGCCGTTTTTTATTAATTTGAATTGTTATCAAGAAGATGCTGCTGCCCAACACCTGCTTCAATTTTCCTCTGTCGCCTCTTACGACACCCACGGTACGGTATGGGGTAGTGGGTATTCTTACACCGCCACTACACAGTAAACCCTTTAGATAACAATAGTGAAATTTCTAGTTCCTTAATATACAAACAACAATGTACAGCAACAACTAATTTTACATGACTATATCCGTATTATTAATGATTATACGTACTATGAACTCGAAAGAAAAAAATGTAATTCTGTATGTTTAAAAGCAAATGGTTTCAATTCTTAATAAAAAAATGTTTTTTTTAACTAAAATATAAGAGTGTAACATAATGATCATATTAAAGTTATTACAGTTATTTATTTGTGTGTGATTCTTGAATTGCATTATAATAGTGTGTGTCGTGAGAGGTAACAGAAGGAAACTAAACCAGGAGATGGCAGCAGCATCTACCTGATAACATCCGAATACAAATTAATAGTTATCTATAATTAGCTAACTCACAGTCAAAAGTTGACCTTATTACCCTACTTTTTGACGTCAATTGCCGTACGTTATTATAAATTCGCTTTTAATATCCCTTAAACGAATGTTAAAAAAAATCCCTGAACAAAAACTTAACTAAGACAGTTTCCTCATACGATATATCCATCATATATTTATTACGATTCTTTGCTGTGTACATTTACAAAGAAGCAAAGCTAGTGAGTGACTTTCCTCGCTCCGTATCATGTTATCGTATGCCATAAATAATTTCAAAGTTATTCGCAATCGGAAAAGACAAAGAGAAATAAGGTTTTATTATTTGATTTGTGATACGAAAAGTCATTTGATGTAATACTTAGATGTGGAGTGAAAGTATGGAACAACAAGCATAGGAGAGATTGATTATTGAAGACAAATTTTTCATGTAACACCTTCATAATGGTCTAAGTAATTTCCTTTACAAAAGCGATACCTAACAAGATCGGTGTTAGTTTATGAAATTCGCTTTTTATAAAACTGAATTTAACTTTAATACGTACTCAGCAGTCGTTATTATGTATACTTCCTATATTTAAATTACCGCTAGCCTGGATCGCATCTCTGGGGCGCCCCAGAGATGCGATCCAGGCTAGCGGTGCGAAACAAGAGAGGCTCGCGACGATATCTCACACTATGTGAGGCGGTTACTTCTGGGGAGCGACTGCCCCAGGTGGTGCGGTTCAGACTAGCGGCGCGAGGCAAGAGAGGTGCGCGACGACTTCTCACACTATGTGAGGCGGTTTATTCTGGGGCGCGACTGCCCCAGGGATGCGGTTCAGACCAGCGGTGCGGAGCAAGAGAGCGCTCGAGGGCAGCGTGCGAACCTTTATTGGCTCGAGTCAGAATCGCGTCACCTTTTAGCCCCCCCTCTTTCTGCTTCAGTGTGTACGGAAGGGACATGAGGTTAAAAGAAGGACAAACACTTGGCTGCAATATACCCTCGAACAAAATTAAAAATACAAAGATTAAACCTGACTTTCGACTATAATTTCTAATCTAGAAAGCTAATTCAAACTATTGATTGGGTAAAGGGCACAAATGGTCAACAGGGCGCATGTAAGATGAAGAAGAGCGCTCGAGAACAATAAGAGGTTTCCGAAATATTATCCATGATAGAGGTGGAACCAACGATGACGTAGCCCAAGACGGTCTGCATTGCGTAAGGTGCGGCATACGAGGAGTTGCCCTTGACCTTCTTGTGTAACAAAAGATGAGGGAATACCGATGCTCCAATGAGCATGTCTATTTCTCCGGGGACGGCGTAAGTATTGTCTGCCAGAGTCAAATTCTCAGAATCAATCATTGTTGTGGTGTCGACCGAAACAGTTGGCAGACGCTCGGTGACTTTATCTACTACTAATGCATGTACACGCCCTTAGTTGCAACAAAAATCGACGAAACCAGGGCCCATGAGTGATCCCCTCGACGAGCAACCAAGGGTAGAGCCCAATGGCTTATGGATAATTAAATTAGAAAGGTTAGTTACGCAAACACAAACCTTACCGAATTCCAGAAGTGTAGGGTCTACCACAAGGTGGCGTCAGGGGCAAGTAAATGGTAGTTGGTGTGTTGTGTGGGAAGTATATAGTGTAACCTGACGTCACCAATACGGTCAGATAGCTGCACTACGTGCGCCGACCGCTCCACAAGACGCTCACCGCTATCGGAGCACAAGTTCAGCGTCACTTAGCACGAACTATAATCGCGCGCGATCTACACGGGGATCACAAAGTTCAGCGTTCGCAGCGACAAAGTCAAAGTCTTATCACGCTATCAACCGACGCACTAATAACTCGTTGAAGCAACTAACGGCATAAAAGTTCCTTTAATCACTCCAAACACCAAGTATGTCCCTTGAAACGTAACACGTTAAAACAGACAACTAAATTTGAGGCGGTCTAATTAGACCCCAATGTTCAATAGTAAAGTCAAAATGGCGCGTACAATTAACACAAGCTTTAGTCATTCGAGTCAGCACAGGCCGCGACCAACCGTCTAACGATCGCAAACAATACTCAAACTGTTACAACAATAATTATATAATATAGCCTCGTTATAACGAAAAAACAAATTAAGATAAACTGTAAGAAGCTCGTGACTTATAATCGACCCGGGCTCCGCGGAAATAAAAAGATTAAGAATAAGCCTCGTTATCACGGATACGTACAAATAAGATAACACAATGGAGGCCGCTGCAATTCTTAAGTAACCCGGCACGGCTGCAGCGCTCAACGGTTCATGCAGACTGGACGACGCGCTCGCTGGCCGCCGCACGCCCATAGCAAGGGCTACCCTCACCGGTCTCCCCCCCAACGCTAACCGGTTCCCCGCTCGAGACGCGCGTACGCAAGCTACAGCTTGTAACAATCGAGCGCAAACAATGCATTTATATTAAAGTTAATACTACGATCTAGCCGAGAATAAAATTTTAAATTTATATAGCCCTGTTATTTTATTAGTACCTCCAATACCTCTGACTACGGGACATGAAGGTGTCTTATTTACTAACAATCCTAAACGCTGGCAACATTGTATTATGAAGCTACTCTATGATGCGCTGTCTAGCAATGCACGAACACTCTGTTCGTTTCCATGCGAATCCCTAATTACGATACGGGCTGTAGCCAGCAACACGGTTGAAATAGATAGCGTTCCCGTATTCGATAGTGTGCACAGGGCGACGTCCACCCGGTCGACCGTTAGAAGCGTCGACTTTAGTATGTTAGTTTCCTTGTCCGATTTACTCGACGCGAATATGTTGCCAATTTCGAAATGTAACACGGAACTAGAATTGCATTTAGCAACTAAATGACTATCGCTTAGGCAATTTAAACATAAGCTGTTCGTCTTTACTATTCTATAACGTTCGCTGGGTGAATGTTTACGGAAGGTCGCACAATTATACAAATAACTGTGTTGTTTATTCTTACATAGAACATAGGCGCTATGAGGCCATGTAGGCGCAGCGGTTACGTACGTCAGAGACCCAGCGGTCCTAGTTGATGAGATCGGTCTGCGCTCGACACATTTCTTAATTTCTTGTTTGACATTCGAAGAACGCTGTATCACTTTAATTTCATCTCGTACAAAAGAAGCTAAGGAGTCGAATGACGGTAATTCAGAGCAACGATGCCTCATTTCAAACGCACGCACGGTGTTCGAGTCTAGCTTCTTTAAGGCGATATGTAGAAACACAAAGTCCATAAAGTCATTAAATTTCAGGTTCTTGAGCGCAGCTACTGATGCTACGAATTTATCCAAAAACTGCTCTAAGCCCGTGATGTTCGCGGATGATATAGCTTTAAGATCGAATATCTGATCTAGATATGAAGAGGCTAACAATCGCTTATCTTCATATTTGTTTTTAAGCGTTTCGAAAATTAACGAATAATTGTTTGCTGTTGGTGTGAAGCCCGAACAAATGGACTGTGCCCTAACCATTGACTTATATATTACTGGCGTAAGGACCGGGTCGACCGAACAACTAAAACGGACCAGTGCGCTGGCCCTAAAATTACAGTTTAGGGCCAACGCGACGCGGTCGACAGTGGTGCGCGTGCAGGACAGATTTGTCTTTCATAAATATGTAAAAGAATGCAAAAATTACGATAAAATGATTTAAAAAGAAAAACATGGGATATCGTATCATCGGTAAACAACCTTATGTAAATTTTGTTACAATGAAATTATAATATAAACGAATTTTTAAAGTTTTATTTTACAGTTAGTTTAGTAACGTTACCAAGATTAAGCCAGGGTTGGATTCAGATCCTCAAAAATATTGTACATGGAAAATAAAAACGATAATATTTTGTTTTTTGACGGTTTTATTTTTATTTCTGTTTATTTTTTGTCTAAGAACTTAGTGTAAGTTAAATTTTGAATATTGTCACCTACTATTTTTTATATTCAATAAGGGTAAAACGAAAAGAGTACAAAAGAAATCATATCTGCTTAATTGAATCTGAAAATCTGATTCATAAAATATTTTGAAATTCCGTTTTCAAACCGATTACTTCTGGAGCATAGAATTTTTATCGTGGTGGCCCCTCATTATAGTTGTATCAAGGATGCAACATAAATGCAATAAATGCATCGGTCGAGCATCGATTGACCAGAAAGGGAGCTAATTCTAATTTTATTTTAAAAAAACGCGGTACTTATGAACAATTTAGAAATTTTTGATATCGTAGGGTTAATATTAAAATGTAAAGGGACTCAATAATAATACAAGTCGACCTTTAGGTAAAATTATGGTTTTTAAATCCGAACCTGGTTACGTCGTGTTTTGATATGACGTTTGCATTATGACAGATGCGCTACTTTTTCTTGTATGAAAAAGTTATTAGTAAAATATTCAGATAGCCCTATCCTTCCTTTTGAAATCATTGGCCCTAACACTCAATTTACTAATTAAATAATACAATCTTTAAGCGTCCGATAACGATGGATTGTTATGTATAGTGTTTTGAAAGGTATTAATAAACAACGGTCAAATTTTAATATCTCCATTGAATACTAGAATATCTATGGGGGGAAATCTAAGTGAACCCTAAGCTCGTAACAATATGATTGATAACTGAATAAAACTAAATTTACGGATTCTATCGCGTTAATTTAACTGATTTTACTTATTTTTAATTCCCGACGTTTCGGGTGATTTACAGCAACCATGGTAACGGGGGGGACTGAGACGTTTGACGTCCCAATGTCATTGTTAGCCCGGCTACCTTCAGTTTTTGAATATTAATTTTTGGTCCGATTTACGCAAAACGAACATACAGTATTCCGAAGTGTTGCAGTGGTACGCTTGGGTTTGGGTTTAATTTTGTTAATTATAGAATCCCAAGCAGATGGCAGCACCCAACCATCTTCTTTACTGAAATTAGGATGGTTTTTAATTTCAATAGCCTCGCGTATTATCCTTGGTAGGAATCGGTGTTCTTTTGCGAGGATTTGTGGTTTATCAAATCTGATGTAATGGTGGGGACGATCATGAACATGTTCACAGACTACAGACTTCCCGGAGCGTCGATGCCTCACGTCAGCTATATGTTCTTTCACTTGGGTTTTTATGGATCTTTTTGTTTGACCTATATAAGAGAGACCACATTCACAATCTAACTTGTACACTCCTGCATCTTGTAGAGGGATATTACACTTGACGGATGGTAAAAATTTACTAATCTTCTTCGGCGGCTTGTAGTATGTTTTAATGGAAGCTCGCTTCAAGATGTAGCCAACCTTGTCTGTGACTCCTCTGACATATGGTAGCACAGCAGGCACACGCTCGGCTGTGGCCGGCTTCACTCGGTCACTGTGACGTAGGCGCGGGATCCGAAGCTTGTTGTCTTGCAACACTTGTTTGACATGCTGCAGCTCGGCAGTCAGATGTTTTCTGTCACAGATCCTTCGTGCTCTCTTAAACAAAGATTTACCTTTGCTAGCTAACTGTGAAGGACGATGGTGAGATTCACCATTTAAATATCGGTTGGTATGGGTCTTTTTTCTATACACAGTGTGACCAATAGTGTTATTAGGATTTCGAATGACTAAAACATCTAGGAATGCTAAAGAATTATTTGCCTCCCACCTCGGTTGCAGCGGTTCGTTGAGTACCGAGGTGGGCCGGACCAGTTTCCCGAACTAGAACAGCGGTTGCTAGTGGATTGAGAGCCGGAAGGTTTTGGATTAATCTTTTTGATTTGCAGACCCTGTCGTTCAATAGCTCTGGATGCCTTGATCTTTTCTGAAAGTTTGTTACCGAACAAAGTTTCGTCTCTTACTGAATCTTGAACTACGTGGAGAAAGTTCTTATCCAGGTTTGGTATAATTAGCTTTATGCGGCTATTCGTATTTATCGTATGCAAATCCGAAAGAATACGGCAGGCATTGCTAAGATGTTGGATAGCGTTCTTCTTGTCGTCTCCACTTAAGAGAATATTGAGCGCCCTGTTAATGGCCGTTATCCCCGACCCGAGTTGCTGTTGGTGAACTACCAGGATCTTATCTCTGTTTCTTACAGAGTCTATAACTGCTGCTGATATTTCTGCGTTTAGTTTAGGTGCTTGCAGTAACTTACAGTTGTCCGGGATTAATTACTCCTTCAGAATTTTTTCCTTTTTATCTTTTGGCAAGCCTCTGACGAGTAGAGAAAGCCACAATTTGGCTAAACTCTCGTGAATGCTTTCTACAAACTCTGGGGTATCGCTGGTGGACTCACCAAGGGCTTCTAAAAGTTCAGGGTCCAATTCTGGTTCAGATGATGCACCGTTCGTGTTTTGTTCCGTCGAAGTTGCCTCTAAAGCCAGTGGCTCTAATGGTTTCTCAGCCCTGGTCTCTGGTCTAGACTCTGGCTTCAGTGTGGGCTCAGGTTCCGGTATAAGCTCGGGCTCCAGCATGGACTCAGGTGTTGTGGGACTCTGCCCTGAAGCAATCCAGAGGTCCTTCGTGTTAGCTATAAGGTTTAGCTCAGGGTGGTCGGCGTCTTCAACGCCTAAAAATAATATTTTTAGGATTAGAAAAGTGGATTACTTCAACGAACGAGGCTCACGGCCTGCCCTGATGAAGAATTTTGTTTCGACGAACGAGGCTCACGGCCTGTCCTGATGATGGTAATTTTTTCAACAAACAAGGATCACGGCCTGTTCTGATGAAAGCTGTTAACATGTGTAAAAAACAACACGTGCTAAAGAAACAAATATTACGTAATCTTGACTCGTAGTCAATCGTTATAATACAAAAATAAATATGCTTATCTTCATTATTGGAAGATTGTGATGATATGTCCCGTATTCGGCGATGTCGTGCGACATCGCGTTCACGTAATTTTCTAATTTTTCGTTCGTAACACTCGATTTTTTCTTCCGCACTTCGTTGTGGCATTATAAATTTTAATTATAAATACTTTACAAAAAAAAAGGAAAGAATAAAGTGTAGACTTATTGGGAGTCGCGTGCTGTCATCACCGTGCACGAAAAAGGAATGAGAGAATGGCGACTCACTCCGTCCCCGAGTCAGCGGTGGTAGGGGTAAGTCGGTTCACAGCCAACTTTAGTTTAGTCAGTTGAGTGTCTTTTAAAGCGTGCAAAGTCATCTGTAGGTTAAGGGGACTACCTGGTGAGTAATTATATCTGAAAAATGAAGCGATGAAATATAATTTACTATAACCTTAGTTACAAGAAAGAAAGAAGTGTTTAGCATCATTAGGTTTTAAATAGAATGATGAGTTGCAAATGCATTAATGGACTACAGCGGTACATAAAATATCAATCTGGGAAAATATAAAACTTACATACTTCGCTTATATCGCTAATAATAAAACAGTGGTAAATTAAACAATTAAAAAGAAATTTAAAAATAATTATAGGTAATAATTTTTTATTGTAAGATATTAAAAAGTTATGACAAGGTAAAAATAAGTAATATGTGAAGTAATAATTAAAAAATAAAATAAAGATGGATTTATTCAGTAAAATTAAGTATGGTTCATACCTATCATGTTATAATTATCACCTTCATAAATAAAACTAGGTATGGTAAAAGCACAATAGAGTTATGCTGACAGATGCATACACTGATTGCCAAAATATGTTAGCAACAAAATAAATTGTTGTAGTAAGAGGAAATTATGTAAAAATCTTAAGAACTATAAAAATCTTATGATATAAATACTGACTAAATACATATATTGTGCATAACCCATTTTGGTTGCTATTAGTAAAATGAGGTTAATAATTTTGTGCTTTAAACCTTATTATATATAATAATGTATATATAACGTTATGTAATATATATTCAGCGGCAAATTTCTGACCTTAGATGGTAGTTAATAATATTACAAAAAAAAAACATTAAACGCATAAAACCGTTTGAAATATAAATTGACACTTCTCAACTGGATGGAGAGAAACCATTGGAATGAGACAAAATTTGGGCTTTAGTCCTTCATTGAGAGTAAATTACATAGATATTATTCGATATTAAAGTAGTATATGCTTATATTTCTGGGAATGGTAGAATACAATACAAAACTTTGAGCAAAACAATATAGTGATAATGAATAGTGAACATACTACAACTAAATAATACTTGTGTTGTACAATTTTACCCAGAGTTGAAAAAAAATCCTGCTTCATATATTGACAAGATAGAGATAGTTCTATTCATTAACTATTGAGGATTCAAAACTTTAAATTAAATAAAAATATGGAAATTTAACATACAATATATAATTGAGTCAAGTAAACAAAAAACAGTCAGAGGAAGTCTTTCAAGTCTATTCAACAAGATCATAAAGCAGGGTCAAAAGTTAAACTTGATCAAATTAGAAACGAGAAATAATAAAATTATTATATACTTAACAATGGGGTTCTGTAGGCATGACCCAGAAACCATGGCAGTTATATTAGATTGGGGGACGATTCTTCTTTTATGTATTTCCTCTTAATGTCGATGAGTCAAAAAACCATAGGTTTTTGTTTTTTTCACATGAGCAGTAAAAGTGAAAAAATTATGTTATTATAAAATAAATAAAATTAAAACAAATTTTACGTTAAGAGCTACTAGAGTTTTACTAGGAAAATCGAGGGAACATAAGACGGATGTATTGGATGTTCCGATGTTTCGTTATTGATAAAATGAGAACTATAAATTCTTGTATTTTATTTGGTGCCCAGTGTTTTGGATTTTCTCTGAAACCGATAAAAGGTAGAGGTTAAGTTTTTATTATAAAATAAATATCATAATAATAGAACTTAGTTATCAAAATAATAGTTTTTACATGCCTCGATTTTAATCTTAAAATTTATTTTAATTTTTTAATAAAATTTTAGAATATTAACAATGCTATAAACATTACTAATATTCCCCTTAACCACTCGTAGTAAGCTTAAATTTATGGAGTGTAGAAGTAAGAAGTACCAACTCGCATACGAGAATAGTCGAAAAAGTGTCCATCTGTAATAACAGTTCAAAAACTCTCCACTACAGCGCTCGAGTAGTTACGGGGTATGTTATATCGCCGTAAAATAAGTTGATAGTGATTTTGAAAATATAAATTTTGAAAGCAATAAAATATTTACTGTAAAAAGAATTATTGTGAAAGTCTGTGTAAAAAACATCATAAAAAGTTCTTTAAAATTTAGACTGTAGCTACAGTGGCGCCACCGTTATTTAACGCTTTCCTATGGACACTTTTTGAAACAGAGTCTGTACTCCTTACCTTTACACTCCATACTTAAATTGATTGTGTTACGAGTGATTCACGCCAGTGGTCGAATGGTGGATTGGAACCCACGACCTTTTTGAGTTCGCGGTCCGCGCCTGCCATTAGGCTTCTATACTGACTTACAACTAATTTTTTACTGCTTTTGTCCAATACTTACGTTTTGCTATTTTCCATGCAACTCCAAACCTGTTCTCCGGGAATTTATAAAATTTCATGTTCACATCAATTCCACGTGACAAAGTATTATTACAGTCACGGATAATATATCTATATATTTTATTAATATCTAATAACGCATTATTCACGTGCTAAAATGAAATAAATGACCTATAATGTACTCCGTGAAACGATTCGAATTAGTTACGATGTTTGCCACCAGTTGGCGTAAAAGTCTAGATGCACGGTCCCTATAGCGCACGTGTCACCGTGTCTTGAACATGCGATCTATCGGCGTTGCAGTTTCAGCTCAGTTGGAAGCAGACGAGTGAAGCTTACACAGATACTCGTTCCCACGTCTGCTTCCAACACACTACAACTAGTACAGCGCATGTGCCACCGTGTCCTAGTTGAACATGCGATCTATCGGCGTTGCAGTTTCAGCTCAGTTGGAAGCAGACGAGTGAAGCTTACACTCGTTCCCACGTCTGCTTCCAACACACTATGAATAAATATTTTGTCTTTCATATATTACTTATTACTTTATCGTTTAATACATCATAATATCAATACAACGAAGTGTACTGAAGGTTGTTATGAGTTCACGTCCCTCCAAAAATTGAGAACAGTTCTCGCGTTAAGCTTGTTGTTTAGCTTTTAGCATGAGTTCAAAACGTAAATTGAAAAGGAAATGGAATATGTCTGTGCACTTCTTTTTAATTTTTCTTTCTTTTTTATAAATATTACATATTTATGAAAACTGGTTATTTATACCTGATGACTTACAGAACTTTAGTTGTTAAAAAGTGTTTTATTATAAAACAGATACCTCCATAGGCCCATAGCCTTACTCATGGAACGTTTTAACCTTTGCCTGGTCAGCTAGTATTAAAAAGTAATTTTTTAATATCCGGTAACCCAAATCGTCTCATGGGTTTGGCACTATCTTTGCAGCATCTTCTTAACAACTGAAAAAAAAACTGCGGTTGCCAACCCGCCTGCCAAAAGTGGAAAGTATGGCAAATTTTAAAATCGTATGTGATTATCTGTGGGGAAGCCATTATGTTCAGTGATGTTCAGTAGTTGACTTTGATAGATTGTTATTAACGTAATTTCATAAACTGTTAGATCTCTTCAACACATCGTGTCTCTTGCTCTCTCTTTTAATTAATAATTAAAAAAAATATTTATGGTAACCGCGGATTGTGTAGATCGGAATAAAAGTTAAAATTTTAATGTATGTTAACCGCGGTTAACTATGATATCAGGACGTTGAACATTTCAGTCCCACCCGTGACCATGAGTGCTGTAAAGCGTTCGAAACGTCGGGTATTTAAAAAGTTCAATATACGCGATAAATTCCGTAAAAGCTAGTATTATTTCAATAGCTAACTCACAGTCAAAAGTTGACCTTATTACCCTACTTTTTGACGTCAATTGCCGTACGTTATTATAAATTCACTTTTAATATACCTTAAACGAATGTTAAAAAAAATCCCTAAACAAAAACTTAACTGAGACAATTTCCTCATACGATACATCCATCATATATTTATTACGATTGCTTGCTGTGTACACTTACAAAGAAGCAAACCTCCTGAGTGACTTTCCTCGCTCCGTATCATGTTATCGTATGCCATAAATAATCCCAAAGTTATTTACGGTCGCAAAAGACAAAGAGAAATATGGTTTTGTTATTTGCTTTGTGATACGAAATGTCATTTGATGTAATACTTGGAAGTGGAGTGAAAGTATGGAACAACAAGCATAGGAGAGCTTGATTATTTAAGACAAAGTTTTCATGTAACACCTTTATAATGGTCTAAGTAGTAGTAAAGTATTTTCTTTACAAAAGCGATATCAAGATCGGTGTTACGTTTATGAAATTCGCTTTATATAAAACTGAATTTAACTTTAATACGTACTCAGCATTCGTTATTATGTATACTTTCTATATTTAAATTATCAAGTTATTCGAATGCGTGTAAATTAAGAACAAATTAGACATTTCGTAGATAAGTACCGTGAGTGTCATAAAAGTTGACAAAGGGAAACTGAAACCCGACTTTGGCCGCAGCACAACATCCTTCTGATAACAACTCAAAATTATTAACCTGCAATTGCCAACCCGCCTGCAAACGTCGCAACTATGGCAAAACTCCCCTAAGATAAAATCTTTGGAGGAGGCCTATCTTCAGCAGTGGACTTTTGATAGACTGTAGCTATAATGGTAACGGATGAAGGAATAAATGAGACTGCATCTGTCGTACTTCGGTATCTTCGTTCACATACTTTACCTCTTGATTAGTTAATAACTTTCAATTATTCGGGAACTGTTGCCGTACGCTAAAGTCAATTGGGAGGGTATAATCATCAAAAATACATATCTGAACGGAATGGAATGGTATTGAATATATATAAATTGATATTATTAAGTACGTTTGCCCCTGCTTTGGAAAAATCCTCCATCCTGGAAGAAATTTGTTTCTTTTTAATTGTTCACATTACAACTTTATTCTATTCACAATAATGGTAAAATTAATTTTCATATTATAAGAGCCGAGGTGGTAGCTCAGATGGTTTACGATCGCTGTAAATATAACCGCGCCGGCATCAATAAAATTGTTAATTGCAATTTTAAGTGCTGATTTACCACGTGCTCGGCGGTGAAGGAAAACAAAACACAGGTGAGGAAACCTGCATGTCTGAGGAATGAGAAAAAAATATTTCGAAAACACGTGAAGTTCGCCAACACGCATAGGGGCTGCGCGTCGGATACTTCCCAAACTTCGGAAACTTGCCCTAAAACCCTCTCAGAAATGAGGGGGAGGCCTGTGCCTAGCAGTGGGACGTGTTATAGGCTGTGACCTGGCTTTAACTTTAACTTTACATATTTAGAGAAAATACCATTATGATTATAACTGTCGAGTAATTTGGCAGTGGGGAGGCGGAAACGATTACACTATTTCGTTCCAGTTCCTTCATCCCACAATACAATTTATCAAAAATAAATTGTGCAGACGACACTTTTTACTGATTTATTATACTCGTATGTAATAATTTAAATGGACTGGGTATATTCTCAAGTTTTTAGCTGTCGTTAAACATTCTTCATGTAATCACAGACTTGTTTAATGACCAAGGGGCCATAGTTTAGGTTTTAATTGGGTTTGATACAAATCTTAATTATTTTAGTAAAACAACGTATGATAGCATTTTTATAGTATAGGGGAGGCAAACAAGTTCACAATAAAAATCTAAATTACTTCACAACTTTCTGCTAGCTAAGTACAATGATGTGTCTTACCTGGACTGAAGAGCACCTCCCGCCCTCTCTCAATTGCATGCACTAACTCCGTCACCACTAGTCCCAGCACCACTACTCCCGGCACACTTCCGCACTACTTCCAACACCACTATTCCAGGTAAGACACATCATCGACGACAATACGACACGTGTTTCGCCTCTACACGAGGCATCCTCAGGTGATGTAGACTCTACGGTGACTGACCGCTATGAGTCAGTGCATGCAATTGAGAGAGGGCGGGAGGTGCTCTTCAGTCCAGGTAAGACACATCATTGTATTTAGCTAGCGGAAGGTTGCGAAGTAATTTAGATTTTTATTATAATGGATTTCCGCAAAGTAACGCCTGATTCTATCAAACAATTTCACCTCATAATCCACCTGCAAATAAGTAGATGATGTGGCCTGTAGACACACCTATATCTAACGCGTGTAGATGTGTTATCACCTAAGATCTCGTTAGGTACCAGTAAAAATAATCTCCGGTCTTCTACACTCACCATATAACACACCAGCATATATATTGCACGCTGGCATTCTGTGAGACTGTGGTCCTTCCTGCGTCGAGCCATATTCTACGCAGGTCTCGTAGAATATTAACAAAATGCACTTTTAAAACAAAAAATAATAACGATGATGTTTTTTGATGATTTTAATGTAAAAATGCAATTTGTAATTTCGAGATTTTGTAAACAAAGCGTAATGTTCTAATTTATATCACAAATTAAAACTATATTAAAATGAAGTTGAAAGGGTCTTCATGTGGTAACGTCAAAATTTACAATAAACTAGCGACAGCGGTGAGTAACACTAATAAAATAAAGCGGGGTAGGAGACTACAGGACTTTGCCGCAGCTTTTTACGTGAATATTGTTTAATGTATTTGTTTGTGTATCGTTTTTGTTTCATAAATATTTCTTTCCATGAATATTATTCTTTCGTATATTTGTCGATTTAAAATGTTTAAAGTTAAAATAGCGTAGTATTGTCCCTTGTTATTAATTATCATTTGTAAATATGGGACATAAAGTGAAATCCGTTACGAAGAGTAAAAAACGTTTATGTAAATCAAACACCCAACATATGAACGATATTAAATGGTTTTACATATTACTATAGCATTGAATTATTACTAAATAATTAATATTTATTTTTACCACAATAAACCTATAAATTTTAGCAATGTAGTTTATTACAATTGTGTATTTGGTAGCGCGGGATGGATTTGCAGTTTGCATTCGAGAGTGCCCGGGTTCGATTCCAGGAATGTTATGTCAAATTTTCTTATTTCTTGGTAATATATTTAGTACAAGTTAGTAGTTTTGTATATTTAGATAAATTAATTAAACACTTTTAGAAATAAATAAAAAAGTTTAAAATTTTGTGATTTTTTACCGGAGAAAGGTTGAAAATATCAACACGAAAGTTATTTCCAATTTGTAAGTACCTACAACTTTTTTAAGCTATGATAACAATAAAAAAGCTAAAAGTACCTAATAATTTTGTTAAAAGACCGCGGTTTAAAGATAAACATGACGAAATGACAAGACTCATCTAAAAATTGCGATGTGACTTCTTCACATGGAAGAGTTTAGTTTTATTGATTTTGTTTGTAACAAATAGTAATTACAATTATGTATGAATGTTTTGTCTTTTACTTAAGCTTGAAAGTATTTCAGTCAAATAAAAAAAATGCAAAATTACCAACTAGAATAATTGGAATTGACATTTCTACGTATTTTAGTAGATTTTAATAGTCTTAATTTCTCCCTAGCGTAACCATCGAAAGAATCTGCGGAATCCGACGTATATAACACAGAGTTTAACAGTTTTTCACTTAGATTTTTCTTTTGTGGGTACACAGACATAATTTAACAGTTAACAGGTTCTCACTAAGATTTTTCCTTTGCGGGTAAACAGACATACATAATATGTTTTTTGAATTCTTCCCACAATTTACCTGTCTCAGGCTCCCACGTGTCAAACCAGGATAATGCAGAGCCCCGAAGGGCTTTACCGGCTTTTGCAACCTTCTCAAAGCTGCTCCATTTTAACTCGTCTCCCAACTTATCGAAGCTTTCGCACCAGGCAGCTGCTCCGTCGTTGCTTTTGTCCAGGTCGAAAATTGGCACCGCTGCGTCGTCGTGCCGCATATTGAAACCATTACATTTTGGATGGTTTCCAACAGCCCTTTCACCAGCTCCACATCCATATTGAAATAGTTTGCGCTGAAATATTTAAAATAACGATTAACAAAAAACACGGGCGATCCCACTTCTGATGATAATTTCATGAGAAATTAAACGAAGAAATCAGCTAGGAAAAAGATCGGTTTAGAAATAAAATTAAATTCTCCTATTTAGCTAAAAGGAACTGTTAAAATCTTTAATAAATTCAATATTTAAAGAATAATATCTTCACACATATTTAAACAATATTTAACAAAAGATACAATAGCAAATAGCAGAGTACTATAAAATAAGACATAGTAGAAATATACTTAACTTGCCAATACGAAGAATAACCAAGCACTGTCTCGAATTTCTTTGAAATCGGAGTATTTATAAGATTACCGCCAAATGTCGCTTTTATTTTTTTATTGAACGCTTCTCAACACATCTAAATATTAACAATTAAATTATAAAGATTATTAACTATCAAATAAAATCATAAAAATCATTTTAAAAACCATTTTCACAGCTTTCAACAATTAATTTGCAGTATAAACATATTTCAGAAAACAACGTGGTCCAAAAGGGTTTTATCACATGTAAGTAATAAGATAAAGAAACTAAAATCCTTACTTAAACAAACACTTTCAAAAATATGAAAGAAATTTCTTACATATAAATAAACTTTTTCAGGCTATTTAAATGTATTTATTATAATATATTTATCGTACATTAGAAACCGGAAGTAGTAACAAATTAACAATTCTTAAAACATTAAAATTAGTTCACAAATGGGTTAATCATAACTAAAATTTAATCATAAAATTATCGTTAATCTAGCAAGCGCTTCCGATTATCGTACAGTATCCAATTTTCATCACAAGTAATGTTTCCCTTCATTTTTGTGTCGGTTGAGCAAAGTAAGGTTGAAATTTAGAATCGCTTGGCAGGAATTTGTGGGAGTAAGGTGTTTTATTTGGTAGAGGTTTGGTCCCCGATTATAATGATACCACTCCCATTAAAAGGTAATGCACCGTTCTTGAGAAAAATCAAAAAAAAAATCCCATAGAACTAACCCCAAAATCATAACTCAAAATGAATTAAGGTGGTGGGATGTGGTGGAGATGGAGGCGGGGGGAGTTGTAGTGTCACTCACTCTCTACTCACTTCCACATCCTGCCGGACATGCTTAGTGTTTTTTTATTTTTTTTTTTCAAAATCTAATTTTGAGGTTATGTTTTTGTAATGTTTTTGACTATAAACCTGATTTGTGGGGGGAAGAGAGTTGGAGGAGGGAAACAACACGTAGCGAAGCCTAGGGAAGGCTAGTCAACAGAGCCCCGCTTAGCGGGGCTCCTACTTCTGTGTGGTTTACAAAAAAATAATCACGAAAAGAATCCCCTTCTAACCTAACCTGTCCGAGATGGGGTGCCCTAAGTCCCGCTCGCTTCGCTCGCTCTTGCTCTCAACAAAACACCAAAATATTAGCTTTCATAATTACTTTAAATTATAAACATAATATACTAGGTTACCGCGGCTTCGCCCGCTGTCACTAGGAAGAACTTCATTGTTTTGATTGACGGTTTTATAGATTTGTATATATAAATATGAAAGAAATTTCTTACATACAAATAAACTTTTCAGGCTATTTAAGTATATTTATTACAATATACTTGTCGTACATTAGAAACCGGAAGTAGTAACAAATTAACAATTCTTAAAACATCAAAATCAGTTCACAAATGGATTACGTAGTTATTAATCATAAATAAAATTTAATTCTAAAGTTATCGTTAATCTAGCAAGCGCTTCTGATTATCGTACAATATCCATTTTTCATCACAAGTAATGTTTCCATTTAAAATCCCTTCATTTTTGTGTCGGATGAGCAAAGTAAGACAGCAGTCGACGCGTATTTGCAAGTTCGATTCACTCAATTCATGAGGTACCCATCGTTCAAGTTTTTTTTACTTTCCCGATTTGCTTCAAGTGGATTAATACTTGTGGTGTTCTTCAAACTTGATAAGACAAATCATTTTATTTTATTAAGCGGATGTGGGCGTAGTATTTCTTACCAAATTTAATACGAGGGTGGATTGAAAAGTACTCGGCCTAACACAGATCCATTCAATTCTAAAAATCAAATCTACCCACATTATTTAGTTCAGTTTAGACTAGTTCATTGTGTGAAGTTCGAAACGTGTGCGATAATTAGTTGTGTTTTTATAAATTTATTAACAAAGTAATCGGACATAATTTCCGCGAATGGAGCAAATCGAGCAGCGTGCCGTCATTAAGTACCTCCATAAGAAGGGGCTATCATCAAAAGCCATCCATGATGACATGGTCAGTACATTAGGCGATTGTGCTCTGTCATATTCATCCGTCAAAAAATGGATAGCAGAATTTAAGCGTGGTAGAGAGAGTGTGAAAGATGAACCCCGCTCTGGGAGGCCTTCGACGTCAACTACTGACGAAAATATTAAAAAAGTACTTGATTTAATAATGGGAGACCGCAGATTAAAAATTAGAGAGATAGTCGAGATTATAGGCATCTCTTATGAACGAACTCAAAACATCATTGTCAACGAGTTGGGTTTCCACAAGGTGTCTGCGAGGTGGGTTCCGCGACTGCTTTCAGTTGAACAAAAAAGGACGCGATTGACTATTTCACGCGACTGTTTGGAGTTATTTGAAGCCGATGCAGATGATTTTTTGAATCGTTTTGTTACTATGGACGAAACATGGGTTCATTACTGTACACCGGAAACAAAACAACAATCAAAACAGTGGAGAAGACCTGGTTCACCACCCCCTAAAAAGGCTAAGTCGATTTTGTAGGCAAATAAGGTGATGGCTTCAGTATTCTGGGACTCGAAAGGTGTGATTATGATTGATTATCTTGAAAGGGGTCAGACTATAAACTCTGATTACTACTGCACCTTACTACGTCGTTTACGAGAGGAAATGCAAGAAAAACGTCGAGGAATGCTCAGAAGAAAAGTCCTGTTTCATCAAGATAACGCCCGTGTTCACACGTCAGTACAGTCAATGGCTGAAATTCACAACTGTGGCTTTGAACTGTTACCGCATCCGCCGTATTCACCTGATCTGGCACCATCAGACTTCTTTCTGTTCCCTAACCTAAAAAAGCACTTGGGAGGTCAAATATTTTCGACAAACGACGAGGTCAAAGCAGCTGTAGGTGCATATTTTGACTCTAAGGAAGAATCATTTTTTTTTAACGGTCTAAATGCTTGGAAGGGGAGGTGGCAAAAGTGTATTGAACTTGATGGTGATTATGTAGAAAAATAAAAATATAACTGATTTAGTATGTGTTTATTTTCTTGGTTAGGCCGAGTACTTTTCAATCCACCCTCGTATAATGGATTTCCGCAAAGTAACGCCTGATTCTATTAAGGTCTTTTGCAGCCATTTTGGCCGCAATAAGTTATACTAAAGTATTTTTTCCACAATGCATAATCTGTTTTATTATTATGTTTTGGGATTGAGTTAATTAATGTATAATGTACCGTCCAAATATCGGAAAAATTTCATATTTGCCTCTCTGCGTTTTTCTTTTTTCGGCAAATTAGAAGTTGGACGTTTATTTATCGTTGCAGACTTTAAATTTTCTTTTCTTCGTTCATTTTAAATTTATTCTGAAAAGAGTAATAAATCTAATAGAGCCACGCTGCAGCTATATTATAGTTGTAGCACAAATGGGTCGGCATTAGCGGGTGCAGTAGCAGCGTGATGCTGCTGTGTTTCGTATTGTGAGTGTAGAGAAACGGAGACCCTTTTTACTGAAATCGAGGCATTCTTCAGGTGTGTCAATGCATTTGCATTTTGGTTCTTAATTGAGGATATATGTGGATGTCAATGGGCCACGGCATACACTTGCCATCAGGTGGAATGTGTGCTTTTGCTATAAAAAAATGCACTTAAAAAACCATCATAAACGGTAACATCATACGATAAAAAAGCACATATTCATTCATAATCAAACTATGACCTCAAACACCCAGATAAGTTCCTTAAATCGGACGCATAATGTATTTTTATTTATTGAAAACAACAACAGTACCTACAACCGATTGAAGAAATTGAATGGAAGAACTTATCCACAAGATGATGCATTTTACTTAATTTACTATATACACAGGAACATGAAAGTAAGATACTGTCCGAATTACTGGTAAAATAATGAAATAGTAAATAATTGTCGAATTGACGACGTCAATAAATAGCGTGGTGGGGAAGGCGGCATCACTCGGCGAGAGAAAATTCGACACAATGAATTATATCTGTATCTCGCCAACACAATACGCATAAAGTTTAAAACTTTTGTATTTACTATTTGTTCCGAGTTTGGTGAGAAAATATACAATATCAACGCTAAAATATTTAAATGTAGTAACCGCCACAGTTACAGCTTACAGATGTATTAATTTATGCTATCATAATTATCGATTGAAGTACAGTCTAAGGTGGTTAATAAAAAATCAGAACATTTGGCGTCCCGGTAAAGGGTGTCGGGACGTATTACCAGACCCCTGAAACCCAAGATTACATTAAGCGAGAACAACAAAATGGCGGAATAAATATTAGTTTATTTAATTTCTTCTTTTCCATAATTTTACCACTTCCTCTATTTATTTATATTTGTTTATAATGTAGCACGTGAATCGTAAGCTACTTAAATTTTGTATACATGAATAAAAACGATATTGCACCACACATTAAAATAGAGTTATGTTTTTGTTTTGTATTCTTTTGACAGTTTTTCATTCGATTATGAAGAAAATCTTTAGTAATGATCTTATATTTATGCGAACACGCGATTAATTTATTTTATTTTTAATACCCGATTTTTCGAGTGCTTTCGAGCACCCATGGTCATAGGGACCAAGGTGACTGACATCTCAATGTCAATTTTAACCCGGAGTACCTTCAGCTTTTTAATTGTTATTTTTTGTCCG